GGGGGGTCAGGCTAGAAGATCTACTAGGTCCCTTCCGACCCTAGATCTATGAAACTATGAAACTATGAAACATTTACATGTAAGAAAGAAAGCTAAAGTAGCATTTTGACAATATGACTTAAATTACCTCTATTCAGTCAGAAGGACTAATGGCCTATAAAGCACAAAGCATCAAGTGAGCATAAAAGTGGGAGTTAGTTAAAGAAAACCTGACATCTTTCCAGAGCCTTTGAAAGTCCTGAAAGTGAGGAAAAGGAAAGCCACCCCACCCCCAAAGATATATTTTATATTGTGTACTTCAGCTAGAAACCTGAGGGAAAGAAAAGGGTGGGAATGGTCTTCGTTATCTCTCTCTATAATTTTGAAGAAACAGATATTCTCTTATAGAAAAAGCAATAAATCACATATACTCAACTAAAAAAAACAACTTGAGTTACTTCACATGTGTCTTAATTCTACCCCTGAGACATGGTGACTGTAGCCTGATCATCCTTACTGATCAAATGGATTTTTTCAGGGCCAGTTTGTGTCCAGTTTGTTTTTGCTATCAATTCGACTCCCATGAAAACTCGATCAGTAAGCCCAGGAGATAAAATTTAAGTTTGAAGCTAAACACACTAAAAACATGCCAGAAGAATGGAAGTGTACTCTGTTGAGAAGACCAACCCTATAGGAATTGTATAGCCAGTTGCTCACCCAGAAGAAAGGTGCCTGAGATGACTGAATAATGTAGTCTTTACTTGAGATTAACAGTTCACATGAGTATTCTCTTTATTATGTTGTTATTTCTTTTTGCAACTTTTTTTGTACATTATCCTAGAAATACATATGAAGTGTTACATTCTATTTTGGTAGCTCGGAAAAGTTGGCTGTAAAAGTAGTAAAGAGGCTGGTTCCTAGATACGAAGGATATCATTCTGAAGATGGAGAGCACTTCTGAAAGTCAGGTGCCAGTTTGTGGAGCATAGTTATAGCCATCTGATCAAATCTTATTCCCTTTTAAGGGTTTATTCTCCAAAGGGTGCCATCTGCCTGACATCTGATGTATTTATTTCTCTTCCACTCTTTGGATACAGTTCTAAGATACTGCTCCAAACAGCTACTAAAGTATATGTTGAATATTTTGCTGAAAATAGAACTCCAGTTTCTACTTTGCAAGATTCTGGATTAGCTCTCCTGGTAACTTCATTGGGTGTAGGAAGGGACTGTCACTAAAAGTTTTGGATTCTAGTCCACTTCTGCTAACTTCAGCCAATAGAGGCCAAGGGACAAAAGATCAGAAATTGGCACAAATCTTATAGTATGGGTGGGGAGGGGGGAAGAGTAGGCCATACGCTCTTGCTCTACATGTGTCAAAAATGCCAGAATTCTTTATTATAAACAATAATTCCATGACACAGGATTTTGTATTGGGAGCAATGTTTAAAGCTGAATCTTAGAATCATAGAAAAATAGGTGTGGAAGGGACCTCAGGAGGTTATCTAGTCAAACCTGCTGCTCAAAGCGTAATCATCCCTGTCTAAACTATTTCAGCCATGTGCTTGTCTAACCCTTTTATAAAAACTTCCAAGGATGGAGATTCCATAGCCTCTCTAGGCAATCGGCTTAACCACCCTCATAGTTCTTTATCAGTACCACTCTTGTGTATGTAAGAGCTGAGAGGCCGCCACTTGACTTTTACTTCTAAAACATACCATCTAACTTTCATACTGAGGAAGTCCTCCAGATCCTACTGGGGATAAGGCTCTTACAATGTACTCTATACATTTTAAAACTAGAAACAGATCTTGAAAAATTGCAGCCAGTTTCTGAATCAATCATAGTTCAATCAACACATACATGACACCTCTAAATAAGTGTCACTTTATGCATTTCTGCATATTGCTGTGCCAACTCAGTTATCTTAAGAACTAAAATGCTTAAACTTCTAGGATGCATTCAGTTTGAAGGTATCAGAGTATCTTCAAAACATCAATTAATTTAAGTTTGGAGCTTCTAGAGGACGGTTGAATATTGCTGATTCTACAAGCAGAGAAATTGAAGCACAGAGAGAGTAAGCCTGCATACACAGAAGGTAGAAAGGACAGGTCAGACCTCTTGACTATCATTCATGTTTTTTAAGCACATATCTAGGAGAAACACCCACAAGTTAGAAGAAAAATTCTTTACAGTTTGATGTATTTTATCTTCATTAAGAAATGCCTTTGAGGCTTAATTCACTAAGCACAAAAGAGCCTGCCACTTCTCTTGTGGAATCTGTACAAAAAGGAATTGCAATTTTACACTTTAATCAATTCAGGGAACAGGCTAAACTAAAATCATTAGCCATGATTAAACGAAGACGCCAGCTACTTACTACAACTGCAAACTTCAGTTCTTTTTTTGCCACAATTTGATGAAGCAGAATGAAGAGAAGACTGCAAGTGAAACACAGACTCCTGGACCTGCATGCAGACTTTGTCACTGCCATCCTGCAGCAGTCAGGAAAGCTCTGTAGCTACGGTATCTCCTTGGGTTTAACAGCTCTTAAATGAAGGTGCACTTATAAAAGGGGTGGAACTGTTTTTTGTACATTCCAAATACGCTGGGATCTTGGTGTGCTTATGCAATAAACCTGTTTCTAATATGTTTTCCTCAGGTTATTGTTTACATTCTATCTAATAAGCCAGTAATAGCTTTGTTTCCCCCCTCCGATTTTTTTTTGGAGGGAGAGTTAAAAAAAATCAGGGAGCTGCTTCCCCATAACCCCCCTCCCAACCCCTGACCCACTTTGCAGTTTTTTGTAACTTTGTGTTGCTTCTGTTTTTCAGTGCTTTGACTCTTTCCAGGTTGCAGTGTGGGGTAGAGGAAAAAGGAGTTGGGCAGTCTTCAGATTTCTTTTTTTCTACCTCCCCCTCTGCTAATCTATCCCTTCACTGGTATTTTAAGCTCCTCTTTCCCTCCCATGATTCTCCTCCCACACTCCAACCTGGGTTTCCCATCACCAAGTCAAATTAATTTGTTTTAATAATATAAACAAGCCCTAAAATAAACCAAAACCACATGGCCCTAAAATAAACAACTTTAAAAACAATACTACCTTCAAGATTCATGTGCTGTTCTCTCAGCAACAAAATGCTATTGTACTGAGTAACCATTAGTTTACTTTCCCACTGCACACATATTGTTCCTGTTTGCATCACATTTTATTTAGGTCCCAGGCCTGCAATGAATGCTGTGGGGGCATACTGTATGCCCCTTGAGCTCATACTGAGCATATTGCAGAAGCAGGGCTATAGACTGTGATCTCATTGCAATGATCACATTGCAATCTGTGCCTGCCCATTTTAAACACTGACCAATAATAACTTATAATTACAGTTTTGAATCTGACATTGACTCACTGACTCAGAGCAGGTTGTTTAATTTGCCTATGTTTTCCCCTTTATGAAATAGGCATAATAATACCTTCATACTCACTTCCTTAGTGTTTTGTGCAGATAGTGTTTGTAAAGAGCTATAAAGGCACTTGATATTATCGCTAATGACTTCCTGGGACTTTCTTAAGGTGTTCCACACCCATCATTTCCAAACATGGCTTAGAGCCCTCCATTGAACTGGTTGCAACAGTGATCTCAAGGCTGAATCCTTAAAATATATATAAATTCTCCTGGGGCCCTCAAAGCAGTAAAGCTTTGAGGGTTATCTCCATTTGCTTTGACTTCTGTAAGATTCTGCCTCCACGTAACTTTTCAGATCTTGCTTGAACATTTTTCTTCTTCTGTTTTGATTCCCCTAAACTTTTTTTGGTCTCTACTTTAGCAAGTATGCTGGGCAGTCCTAACTTTAGTGCTGCTTTCTTTATGCCAACTTGTTCTGTAAAAAAAACCTTTCTTAAAGTAATATCCTTTCTATATTTTTAAAAGTATCTTAGGTTCTTTTAAGTGTCCTATTGGATAACATCCCTGCTTTTAGCATTCTATAGGATGTTTTGGAAGTCTGTAGAAAGGAGACCATTCTTTATTAAATGCTGTAGGTTTATAGACTGTTTTCTCTAGCACCATATTAGTGTTACTTATATTACAATCTGTAGAAATTTTCCATGACAGTAGGCAACTGCCTACAGACAGCCCCGAATATTTAAATATAAAATAAATTCATTCAGAACAACACTGATGTTAATAATGCATCATAAACATTGGGATTTCAATCTCCATCTAAGACAGGAAGGTCAATTCAGATTTTTCTAGCTGTTGGTCGGCTCCTTGCATGTATATACTGCCAACAGGATCTTTCATCGCGCTGTCACAGAACAGAAGGCAGCATAACAACTTGAGCATACCAAGGCAGGGAGACAAATTACTGATGGCTCAGGATATGTGTCATGGTTATTTAAACAAGACAATATGAAATTACTGGCAGTGTGCAGGGGGGCTTATGCCTTCTCTGTCTCTGTTTTTTTTCTGACTGTGGGTGTGAATAAGTTTCTGTGTTTGTGTCATCACATTTGGCAACATGTGACTTGTCTATGTTAGGAGAGTTGATTTTGTGTTGCAAAATTGCTTTAAAGCCAATCTAGTTACAGCTGTCAAAGGAACCATGTTTAGTGGCTATCAGCCTTGCCTGATCAGGCAAGTCTGTTTCTGTAGCCAGTGGCCCTGAAAAGAGAGAGGTGGCTACTGTCACCTCTGGTCATCTTTGATTCCCCAGCCCCAATGACCAAACACTCATATATAACTGGGTCTTGTGGGGCTGCTTTTGGCAAAAGGCCAGGATTAGCTTGAATTTATGCCTTTGTAGCTGTAGCTAGACTTTTAACTCAGTTTGTTGGAAATGGACAGGGCCATGTCACAAGCACTTCTGCTGTGGCCTCAAACTTGTGACCTCTGGGCTGTCAGCTGTGCACCTTAGCCAACCATGTAATCTCCCAGCGGGGGGGGGGACATAGGTTAGTTGAGGGGACTCCCAGCCATGGGAGCCTGCTTCTTGCCATTGCAGGGGGAGCCTGAGATCAGGATCTACCACACAATCATGCCTCCTGCCGTGCACATGTGACATGGCAGGAAGTGCAATTGTGTGCATCATGCATCAGATCCCATCGCACCTTTACCTGAGCATGTAGAAGGGGCCTCAATAATAACTTCATCATATGGATACTTGGGAAAGAATTGCTAGAGACATTCCACCTATATTTTAACAACTTTAACCCTTCCACCAAACTGACTCTTGGATACTTCACCCAGCATATTCATTTCTTGGACACCACGATGACAGTTTGCAGTAGTCACCAACATATTGTATCAGAAATTAACCAGCTGCTACAACTACCTCCATGCTGTTGACTTTCATCCTAAGTACACTACTAGATCCATCTTTTACAGCCATATGTATTCATATCCTGCCTTAGGGATCTGCAGCAGGTCTTCCTACACTTAGAATACAGTCTCCAAGTCATAACCACTTAAATCAACAGACCTGGACTCAGACTTTACTCTAACCTCCTACAATACCAAACCTGAGGCAAGCACTACAGAATCCCTCTTGTTACCTATAGCCCCCAGCCTGAACAGCTTGGAAACATCATTAATTACCTCCAAATCCCACTTTGAAAATGCTAATCATCTGAAAGATGCCTTGGGAGACAAGCCTATCCTGGTTTACAGGCAGCCCTCTAACCTCAGATGGTATCTCTGCAGCAAGAAACCACGTATTCTAACTGAGGCACCAGCTGAGAATATATTCCCTCATCAATACGGATCACATGTTGACTACCACATCATCACTGGGCCAAACAATACAAATTAAAACACCCAGCCTTCATGCACCTGCTCCTCCACCAATGTTGTATATCCCATCACCTGCTTACAGTACCCTGGCACTGTCTACATTGAATAGATGGGGCAGTCCCTATGTTCCAGAAAGATGCACAAGCCTGTGACAGAACAATTTACACCTGGACATTCCATTGCCGACCTCAGAGTAGCTGCTCTTACACAACAAAACTTTAAAAACTGACTTGAATGCAAAATTTTGGAACAAGAAATCATCCACAGACTGGATTGTGTTAAGTAGCATCTCAGCAGAGACTCTGGATTCTTATCTCATTACCTTGACTAGCTCTTATACCTTCTATATCCTTACTTTGTTTATTCCTTCACCTCTGTCATCAGTGGCCTCTCCTGTCTTCATTCTTTCCCTATCCTTTATATGTAAATTACCTTATTCCTTTCAATTTAATACCCCTGCTCTCTGCAAGTCCATACATAGCATAAGTAGTCTGTGGCCTACAAAAGTTCATACCCATAGATTTAAGTTGGTTTAATAAAAGATATCCGATTCACTCAAAGAACCTTGTCTGCCTATGTCCTTAGACCAACATGGCTACAACCTACACCCCTTGTACCCATATATTAGCATTTAGGATACTTTGTTGCAAGTGAGAGACAGAGGTTCAATTCCTTTCAGCCAGAGAAGGGAATTAAATTTGGGTTTCTTACATTCTGGGTGAGTGACCTAACCATGGGGTTATTAGGTAGTGGGGTATTAGGTAGTAGGGGAACTGTCATTACCAGCAGTTTTGTGAATATAAGCAGCCCCCTTCCAAAAATGATTTTAGCTGAAACTATTATATGGATTTGACCCAAATCTGTCCTCATGCACAACTGTGAAGAGTTTTGGGATGACCAAACTGCATCTTTGGTGAATAAATTATTTGACAAAAAACCAAAACAAAAAAACACTCAGCTCTACTAATAAGTCAAAGAGAAAGTAAAAAAAAGGGCTGAGGGGCAAGCCACAATCTGGTCAATCAATCTCTGCAACTCCAGCTTCCCTTTCCTGCTCATTTCACGTAAGTGATTTTGTTTATATGCATGAAATGAAAATAAATCAGTCATCAACTAAATGTAATGTGAAATACAGTTCTTATAAATGTTCAGGCATTGAGCTGTCCTTAAAATACATTGCTTGATAATGGTGATGTTTATGAAAGATGAGGGTACCATGTATCATTGTTAAATTGACATGATATGCTGTGCTACTGTTTCCCTTCACATGTAAATAGCCCTAAAGCTGAGCTCTAACTGCTTTGTTTTAAAAGAGACTAACCAGTAGTCTCAACTTCTAAGTCCCCACAAGAATTTACAATTCTAAAAAAAGACCTATATCAACATTCACAAAAACTGATATAAATGTTCTAAAAATCACAATACTTCTTGCTGTGCTCCTGCAGTAGGAAACAAAAGCTATATTATGGACAGCATGTACAATGATACGCTGTGAGGGCCTTGTTACACCTTGTACTTTGATCTGCACAAATGCAGATGGAAGTTAGTGCTTGCTTACGTTTGAAGCAGTCACACTTCAGGCCAGCAGGGGCCTGGAGGACTGAATGGTAAGAATCTCCCCCTCCCCTCCCATTCTGGGTTTCCTCCATGCCCCCATACCCTCATCCCCAGTTCATCCCCTGCCCCCAGGACTCTGGCTGCTCCTTGGGGGTTCCCCCTTGCTTCCCATCTTTCCCCACCCCTGGGGCATAACTTGTGGCTGCCC